GCATTCATGAGGCTGTGACTGGACTGGAATCAGCATCAGTGTCTGAACCATGGCTATGGTGGGTTGCTGGACTCAGGGACCCTTCTGTGTGGAGGAGGCTGGGGGCTGGTTCGTACCCTGAAATTTGATCACCCTTTCTTACAGCTCCAGAAGGAGGGTCTGTATGGTGCAGGGACTGCAGGGTCTGCCTGACCTCCAGGCCAGGACTTCTGGAGCAGCTGGAAGCCCTCCAGCTTCTCCTTGCTTGAAGAAAACCCCTAGAGACTCCTGACTAGAAATGTGTGTTCCTGGATTGCCCCAGATTTCCCTGAAGATGACGAGGCTTCTGGCCTTTCCACCAAGGAATAAATAAATCATCTGGGAAACGTGGGACTCTGGAGCTTTAGAGAGGTGTGTGTGTGTGTGTGTGTGTGTGTGTGTGTGACACCAAGACAGCACAGAGTGGAGGTGGACCATGACTTTCATTGGAGACACTTCGTGAAAGGTTAAAGTTTGAGGCAGTGACCACCACGTGTTGCTTGTTTCTGTCTAGCAAAGCAACACGTGGTGGTAATCAAAACTCCTGGTTGATTGTGTGCCTATGTAAGACCTGCAAATCCTTAGCTGGGGGCTCTCCTGGGCTCCGCTGTGTCGGAGTGTAGGACGAGGCCCGTTTAAATAAAACAGCTGTAGAGTCTGACTCTCTTGGTCTTCTTGTGTGTGTGTGTGTGTGGGGGGGGGTCCTGCGACCTTGGAATAACACTCTGAGCAGGTCATGAAGTAGCAGGTGGCCCCTGCAACAGGCTCCTAGGGACCCTCGTGTGGGAAGCACTCAGGCTTCCAGAGGGGCAGGTTGTAAGGGCTGAGCAGATTTAGACCGGTTCCATCCGGATCAGACTGGTTTAAACTGGTTTGATCTGGTTCAGTCCAGTTCAGTTCATAACTAATCCGGTTCGCTGTAGTTCAAACTAAAACTAGTTCGATCCGGTTTGATCCAGTTCAAACAGGTTCAGTTCTTTTAAACCGGTTTGATCCGGTTTCAAACTCGTTTAATCTGGGTCGATCCAGTTTAAACCGGTTCAAACCTATTTAATCCAGTTCAATCCGGTCTGATCCAGTTCGATCCGGTTTAAATCGGGTTGAATAGGTCCCAACTGGTTTAATCTGGGTCCAAGCAGTTTGGTCCAGTTTGATCTGGTTCAAACCAGTTTGATCCAGTTTGATCCTGTTTAGTCCGGTTCAATCCGGTTCCGATCGGTTCTGTCTGCTTTCCAGTTTAATCCAGTTCAGACCGGTTTAATGCGGTTCGATCTAAGGAAGAGTAACTGATTGCCTTTGTGGCGTTACCTTGTAGGGCAAGCAGCCCAGACCTGAAGCTTCGTTGGCAAACCCTGGCTTCCTGTTACCTCGCCTGCCTGAGGCCGGGCACTGTCTCCCCCTGCTGGACCAACACACAATGGCAGCCTGAGTCCTGGAAGCTGCCCTGGGGCAATGATCGGAACCCCTGGGTGAGCTGCCCCAAGGCCTAGCTCCCTCTCAGGCCCTGGTCCCTCCACCGGGCAGCATTTGGTCACAAGCGCTCACTGTGAGTTGAAGAAAAACCTGTGAAATAAATGTAAGAATACAGAGCCAACGGTAAATCCCGGAGTCGTAAGTAGGGCCAGTGGCCTTTTTTAGGCAGAGCAGTTTGACTTTAAGATCTGCCTAGATCCTCGGAATATAAGGTAATTTGCACAGAGGAAAATCTGGCCCACATGAATGTGTGTGCCCGCTTCTTAACTACAAAGGCACGGTCTTGCAGTGTATTGCTAGAAAAAGAACAAGTTAAAATAACAAAGTTAAGCTTCAAAGCTTCCAACACAATTAATAAATCCAACACATTAATGAAAGATAAAATCCCTTGTGTTTAAACACTCTGAAATGAAGAGATAAACAATGAAACAACAAAATCCTTTCTAGACTGGAAAAAGAAATCGGAAATGTGTGTCTTGTGGATGCTGTGTTGGCAAAAACAATGATTATTTATATAAAATGAAGAAATTAATACTCAAAAAGTCAAGTCTCACAATATTTCTTTCCATTTGAAAAGCACACATCCCTTTGAGTCAAGAAAGGAGAGAAAGACATACACAGAAGTATTCAGGAACTTGCTATCATTCTGCCACATGCTATTTCCTTTCTCAACAATTAGTTTTTCATAGGCTTTGTGAAAGACAATGAAGCGATTGGGCTGGGAAGGTGGCTCAGCAGTACAGTGCTTGCCTTGCATGCATGAGGCCCTGGGTTTGATTCCTCAGCACCACATAAGCAGAAAAAGCCAGAACTGGCATTGTGGCTCAACTGGTAGAGTGCTAGCCTTATGCTGAAGAGCTGAGGGACAGCACCTAGGCCCACAGTTCAAGTCCCATAACCAACAAAAAAAAAGAGAGAGAGAGAGAGAGAAATGAAGGCCGAGACTTTCTCAAGCAGAGTGGGCAGATTGCCTTTAACTCCTGCTAAGGGTTAAGCCACAGAATGTTCCAGCAGACTTGGATAAAGAATTAAAAATAGTATCTTCCTCCTTCTATATCTCTCAGTTTTGAGTACTCAGTTTTAATTAACCAATCAAATAGGGTCTACCCTTCAGCACTTCTGCCCAGCTAATGGTTTGCCTCCAAACAAACCACTGTGGGCATCCCTTAGTGAGACTCTTTCTGCACTTGCCTTACTGAAGCTATATTGACTCAGTGTAATACACTGCCTGAACTTTGGGAGCTGAGCATGCCCTGGCAATAAGTAGGCTATAGAATATGTGTACATTGCCTAAAGAGGGTATAGAGGATTGTATCCATTTCTGAAGGGTTATTGAGAAAAATGGACCAGGAACCTGTCTGGGGGCAGTCTTTAACTCCAGCAGCACACAATTGGCTATAATGAAACTCATGGATAGTAATACAAGAAGCCAGAAGAATAAAATGCACTGGGTTCCTAAGTCCTTGCTGATCTTCTTTAGAGAAACACATTTGGGCTATCGAAGTTGGAAGAGCTGTAGAAGATAATTGAATATAAGGAATTTAGTTCCAGCAGTTTACTGGTTTATGGATTGGTCTAATAGTGAGTATATTGCAGGACCACTCTTATTAAGGCAACAATTCTTAACTGTCCCCACTGTGGGTGCATGCAATAGGATTGTGTGGATCACACAGTATGATTCCTTTCAAACTATTTGCTTAATCCTTTTTAATCTTGCCTTAGTCCTTCTACTGGTGTGGGCCCCACAGTCGAGTTGGCCTTTGCCCTAAAGCTATGTGGCAGAATGACTTTCTAATTCCAAATGCTTGTCAATTTTCTTGTCTTACTTTTGGGAGATGAGAACCAGTTTCTCTTTCCTATCCTAACCAGTCTGAACATTAGGAGCTGCCTGTATTCTTCGGTTTAATTTGCTGTACACACTGGCCAGTTATATTTGGAATTTACCAATATGAATAGCAACCATTTGTACTATTAACATTCTAGCAATAAACCTCTTTCCTAAGAGACACGAATGTAATAGTACATTTCTAACTCAGGTAAGAATGACACATTTTATGACTGTACAGTATGTGTTGTCATTTCCTCAGTTTCCCGTAATGGAGCAGAACTCCAACCTGAAGCATAATGTCTGTCTTAGTTTTTCTCTGATGTTAACAACTACAAAATACCAGGGCCTTTTGAAAACAAATGCTTGGAGAACAGTGGAAGAGGTGGCATTAAGGTGCATTGTACTCACAGTTTGACTTTTTGAGTTGAAACTCTTTGACAACTACTTAAAACAAAACAAAAAACTGTTTTCTTCTTTTTAATCTCTTTTTCAACAAGCATTTGAAGTTAGGAGCTAAGATTGGCTATAGGTTTCAAGTGTAGAATGTTTTTTGTGGTTTCCTTTATAGAATGATTTCGTTGTATTAAATTATTTCATTGGATTAAATTATCTCCAAATAGTTCATGGTTTTGGATGCCGTTGGAAATACAGTTGTTGTAACATTCATTGCTGGTGTATAAAAGTACACTTATTCACATATTGTCATTGTACCTTGGACTTTAAATTCAGTTATTAGTCCTAGTAGATCTCTAAGGCTATGTCCATGATCAGTCATGGGCCAATAAGACAACTCTAACTGTACTCTTCCAACTCATTGCTTTTATTTAATTGCCTGATTGCAGTGGCCAAAACTTCTAACAAAATATTAAAGTGAAGGTTCAGAACGGATATTTATGATTTGTTTGCTATCTTAGGTAAGAAGTATTGGCATTTTCACCATTGAGTTTGATGAAAGGTGCATTTAATTAAATTTTCTTTAATGGTTTACTCCAATGCCTGCACATAGTGGAAACTGAGGTTTTTCTGAATATCTGAATCAGGACAGGCCCAGGTGGTTACAGGATAGGTAGAGCAGGCCCTCATATTTAACAAATGAAAGAGTAAGTAGGTATGTGCCTATTCCTAGAATTTTTAGGAGAGATTAAAGAATTTATTAATATTAGAAACTATTAGAAAAGATTAGAAACTAATATTAGAAACGTGCTCATTGTGATGACTGTGGTGAGATCGAAACATTTCCTTGTTATTAGAAATACATTGAGGTATTCATAGTGAAATGTCACGAAACATATGGAATTTGCGTTAAAGAACTTTACCATCAAGAAGAAACATCCATTGGCAACATCATTGCTATCAATCAATATAACAAGATCATCATTGCTAACCTAATTATGTATATGTTCCAATCTGGTCTAAAATGTAATTGGCAAACTACAATATACGGAGAAATTAGAAATGAATGTGATTGCCATTTGGGAAAGCAATGATACTGTTAATGCTTCAATAGGAGAGGATATGACATGCCTAAGTATAATATAGTTTAATTTAAAAGTAAAATTAATTCATATGAGGACAAAGGATATCATCCTGAACTACTTAGAAGAGGCAAGAAGGGAACCTCAGATAGGGAAATAAAATATTTGCATTTAAGAAAATAAGTGTCCAGTACAACATGAGACCGAAAGTATGATTATTTATTTCTATTTAGGGAAAAATAAATATTTCTTTACATAGTCTTCTTGAAATCTTCTCATTATACATGTAAAATCAAAATATTCACTGACATAAATAAAAAATAAATTAATCTGAACATTACAAAAGAGTAAGATTTACAATTTGGCTAGAAATATCTCACTTTAGAATTACAGAATCCTTGATGTTGTAGTGAAAACATCTTTCATAAGACTCTCGACTGGAGAAAACAAGAACAAACAATGGGGAAAGGATTATTCTGAGAACAGAACTGCAGCGCATTTGTTTTTACAACAGTGGGGCAGACTCCTGGTTTATTATCTGTCTGTGTCAACAACACTTTCTTACCATGTACTCTTCCTAGGCCAACAACTAAGGCAAAACAAAACTGCCACAAAAACCCAAAACACAACACTTCTGATTCATTACTATGTTTTTCTTTTCTCCAACCAATTTGGACTTCTCTTAATGGAATAAGAAAATGTCACCCATTAAAATGTAGTTTGTCTCTTCTTGGCAATGTGTAAGAAGAGACTAGATTCCATTTTTTTTCTTTTTGCTAACTAATTACTGTAGTTTTCTGTTTATCAGCGAAAACCACATTCCACATCTAGTGAAAAACAAAACACATAAAACCCATTTGCTCATGCTCCTGTCCTAAAGATGAGTCTCCAGACCCTTTCCTCCATTTTTAGGAAAGTGATTTCTGCCAGTTCTGTGGGGTCTATTTCCACTCATGCTGGCATGCTACCACTTGAGCCACATCTCCAGTTCTAGAGAGTTCTATTTTCAAATGTCCTTAGGTCCACTGAGAATGAGATCCCAGACCACTGCCTTCTTGCTTCATTACTACTCCTCACCTACCTTAAAGACAATGATAACATGCAAAACAAAGAGAACTACTGCATATATTATATCCTCTCCTCCAAAAGGTTCTAACAAACTAGAAGTATTCTCTGTCTTCGTGTGTACTTTCTTCTGAACTCTTCTTTGGTTAAGTCAGCTAGCCAAGGATTACTAGCGTCACAAGCAAAACTGTCAGTGTGACCCATGTGTGCCCTGAAAGTTAAAAACAAAAAGTCAAAATCAAAGTAATTTTATTTACTGATGATTAATACCAATTTTTCAGTTGCTATGTGATAAACCTAAAAAAAAGAATTGGTTAATTAAGGGTATAAAACAAATGTAATATTAGTAAGTTAGAGTACAGTCATTCTGCTGTAGGTATATTAATAGCCATAGGAACAATTAAAGCTGTTTGCTTTTAATTTCTTAGACTTAGTAGCCAAGAGGTAGTGTCATGTAAGGTACTTTTAGATTACAGGTCAATGAGACATCTCTGGATAGTAAACAGGAGTACAGGAAAAGATTCATCAAGAGATTAAGACACTTAAAAAGTTTCAAAAATACATTTACATCCATTTACTTTTGTGTGAAGACATAAAAGATACGGTAAGATCTATAGCTGGGTGTGCCTACCACTCAGGAGGCTGCGGCAAGAGGATCATAGTATGAGGTTAGCCTGGGCTATATGGAAAGATCCAAGAAAGGAAGGAAGGAAGGAAAGAAGGAAGAAAGGAAGGAAGGAAGGAAGGTAGGAAGGAAGGAAGGAAGGAAGGAAGGAAGGAAAAAGAATAAAATCTGGCAGGAGCTGGTGGCTCATACCTGTAATCCTAGCTACGCAGGAAGCTGAGATTTAAGGATCACCATTCAAATGTGATATCAGGAGAATATCCAGGTGTATATAGTTAGTTCTTACCCTCAACAGCTTATGCTTTGGAATATGTCTATCTTTAAGTCAGTCTGTCTATCTATTATCTACCTACCTACCTACCTACCTAAAAGGGAACTCTTTCCTAGGGATATCCATGAATTTTTCCTGTTTGACCTATTAAGCAACTGGCCTCATTGAAAATCCTCAAATACAATGCAAAATAAACACACCTACATTCCAGCACTTTTCATCCTATTGAAAATATCCTGGAAAATTATATTCCCAACGTACGGAAATTGATAAAATCCAATAGGGAGCCCCCAGTCAACTAATCAAATGCCACATCTCCTGATCCGTGTTATCCCGCAGTGCGGGGCTCTGGCAAACAGATAATGCCCTAGAAATCCATCATTTGTAATCTGACAAATCCAGCGAGTAACAATAAAAGTAGCTGAAATGAATGGCAAAATGCATAAAATTGTTTTTAATTTTTTTTCAGAGTAGATTTGCTGAAACATCTGTACCCACTTTACTCACTTTATATAAATAAGGACCATTCATTTTGTTATTAGGCCCTAATCTACGTTCTCAAGCAGTCTGAAAAATGCTAGCTGAGCCAGGTGCCAGTGACTCACGGCTGTAATCCCAGATGCCCAGGGAGCTGAGATCTGAGATCATGGTTGCAAGCCAACCCTGGCAGAAAAGTCCCTAGGAGACTCTTAGCTCAATGAATTACTAATCAAAAAATAAACTACTCAAAAAAGCCAGAAGTGGCTCTTTAGCTCAAGTGGTAGAGTGCTAACCTTGAGCACAAAGAGGACAGTGCCAAGGCCCTGAGTTCAAGCCCCAGGACCCAGGACCAAAAAAAAAAAAAAAGAAGGAAAGACAAAGAAAAAGGTCTGAAAAAGTGACATCATACTACATTTGCTAAACTATTTTATTGGGATTCAATAAATCCTTGTAAAAGCCTGTTAACCTTCTCTGTCTCATACCTCGGACCCCCTCACCAATGTTTTTTTAACCAAAAGATTGAGCTATTTATTGTTTTAAAAATGTTCTTATTCTGTATTTGAGCTATTATTAATTTAAAGAGAAAGGAAGGCATTAATAGAGGGCAGAAATGAGACAGTCTGCATCAGCGAAAAACTTTAAACTTGTAGAGAAAACATTAAAATGTAGTTGTTCTTATTAATTAGTGGGAAAAATGGATAAGCATTAGGGCCAATGAGAAGTTAATCAAGTTTGTATGAACTCTACAATCAGATTGCTGGACAATTAAAACTACAAAACAGAGCAGGTGCACGTAAATCACCCTGTTGTGTTTATAGTGTTCAACAGAACCTAGCATGACATTTATAATTCATAGATGGACTCAAAAAGAGAACACTTATTTCAAATACTACTGAATTCCACCCTCCACCTCATTGCTGTCTTAACCTAAGTGTTTATTGTTTGTCAAGCAATGTTCTAAACTCTGATAGGGGGGTCCTTCCCATGAGGGAGGTGTGACAGTTCCCCAGGTGATATACATTAAACAACAAAAAAAAAAATTCTAAAGCCTAGAGAACCTAATCTGCTCAGTCACGAGGCTTGTGAATCAGAGACTCAGGATTTTAACCCAGCACTTGCATCCAGAGCCTAGCTTCTTAATTCCTGGGCTGTGTTTGGCTAGCCTGGTGCCTATTAGTACATATATTGCAGAGAAATGCTTAATCACAGACAATTTAATAATGTTAGAGGTTGCTTTTTTCTAGATTTCTTTCCTTCTCTACAGCTATTATTAAAATACACTGAGTAGCAAAAAAGAATAGGTAAGCATATCATAAAGACAGACTCTGGCTTTCAAATCATTTTCCTTTGGGTGCTGTTGTTACTGTCCTTAAAGTCTGAGGAAAAAAAATTCTGTTCTAGGGGCTGGGAAGGTGGATCAGTGGTAGAGCGCATGCCTTGCATGCCTGAGACCCTGGGTTCGATTCCTCAGCACCATATAAGCAAAAAAGAAAAAAGCCGGAAGTGGCGCTGTGGCTCAAGTGGTAGAGCGCTAGCCTTGAGCTGAAGAGCTGAGGGACAGCGCCCAGGCCCAGAGTTCAGGCCCCACGACTGGACCCCCCCCCCAAAAAAATTCTATTCTACCAGGACAGTAATTACAGAGTGAAGAAATGAAGAGACAGTAGTCCAAATATGAGATAAAGCTCGGAGATTAAATTACTGATATAACAATAACCTTTTTTTGTTTTTTTTTGTTGGTGTGGGCCTTGAACCCTAGGCCTGGACACTGTCCCTTAACTCTTCAGCTCAAAGCTAGCACTATACCACTTGAGCCACAGCGCCGCTTCTGGTTTTCTGGTGGTTAATTGGAGATTAGAGTCTGATGGACTTTCTTGCCTGGGCTGGCTTTGACCTGTGATCCTCAGATCTCAGCCTCCTGAGTAGTTAAGATTACAGGTGTGAGCCACCAGCGCCTGGCTATAATAGCAACTCTTAAAAAGAAAAGCTAAGAATTATTATTTTTTAAATCATCCGAATTTACGATCACACTGAAAAGCCCACAGTCCCAGAAAGTTTTGACTACAGTTATACCAGTTATTAAAATCCTTGAGAGGAAAAATTTGGTAACACAGTTAATAGGAACCCAAACAAGTTCAGCTGTACTCCAGTTTGACAATAATAATACATAGTGGTTAAGAAAAGAGACAGGAATTGCATTTTGTACATGGCTCCCTTAGGCCACAAGGTCCACAGTAAATACTTTATACTATTGTCCTGTCTTCTCTGGAAGAAAAAAAAACAATATTGAAAGTAGTACAGTGCCCAAATACAAACTTGGGACAGGTTTGGGAAGAGTGTACAGTGTTTTAGCACAACCACAATTAGCATTTATCACAGGAAAGATCCCTGTACTCTTGTGAGACTGGAGAGCAGGAAATATTTGGCCTGTAGAATATGTTTTTCTGTGTTCAGTTTATCATAGATAAAATGTCATTGACTTTTAAGACTACAAGGGGGGGGGGGCTGGGAAGGTGGCTCAGTGGTAGAGCGCTTGCCTTGCACGCCTGAGGCCCTGGGTTCGATTTCTCAGCACCACATAAGCAAAAAGAAAAAAGCCGGAAGTGGCGCTGTGGCTCAAGTGGTAGAGCGCTAGCCTTGAGCCTCATGAGGGACAGCGCCCAGGCCTAAAGTTCAGGCCCCACGACCGGACCCCCCCCCCCCCCCGGCACTATTCTGAGCTGAGCAAGGAAAAATAAGTCAGTTAAACTGTCCAGACCAACTTTTATACCATATTTTTTCGTTCTGGGGGTCAAACCCAAAGGCTTGAGCATGTACGACAAGCAGCCTACCAATGAGCTATATTCTCAGTCCCTGGTTGTTTTTTAAACACATAATCTTTCTTTTCAAAATCACTCACACACCTCTGCCCTTTCTCTCAGCATTTCTTTCTTTCCTTCTGTGTTCTAAACACACACATACACACCCCCCCCCCACAAGCTCCCATAATCTCTAGACTCAAAGTAGAGATGACAATAGAAATGCAGTTGAAGCTAATGGACTAAGGACTGCATTTGGTTCCACACTAGAAGAGAGATACTGCATTGTCATTTGGATACATGATTAAAAAAAACCCAGCCATTTCCACCATGGGTGTGTCTTAACTGTATTTTACCCAATCGGTATTTTCAACACATCCCCTACCACTGTATTGTTATTTCAGAAAGACAATACATGAAATTCTGAGTTTCTCCTTCTCCTATGAGCTCCCATTAATCTCACCAATTTAAATACGTCACTTGGAATTAGAACAAAAAAGTAATTCAAAAGCAACACAGAATATCAAGATAAGAAAAATAAAAGAATAACTAGCACATGCATGGATGTAATTCTCAAAGTTTGGGGAGGTTGGTAGTTTAACAGAATACCAGAGCAAAACATAGAAATATGAAAAACAAAGCTTTACAAAGATTTTCAGTAAGTAAAAAGGGCTCTGCCTCTAAAATGAAAAATCATGAAGTTTTCAGGCATAAAGGCAATAGTTTGTGACCTCAAAATTCACTTGATATCTACAGAAACCAACTTAAAGACAGTGTAAACTTAGGATTTATGCAACATGGGATAAATGGAAGTATAAAATTATGAATGAAATGGATACTGTTAAAGGTTCCTAATCATCAACTATGCTCTGAGGTAGGACAACTTACATAATTTTCAGAAATGAGATTCTCTAATATAACGGGGTATTTTAGTCAGATTCCTTACTATGACGAACTATATTAGTGTAGTGTTTAAAACACTATACAACAGTTGGCCAAGGGATATGTCATTTGGTCACCTTCAAAGTGTTTTGTGAATATTTATTAAATTTCATTGAATGCTACTATTTTTGCAGATGTGCAAACTAAGAACCAAAAAAGATGAGTTGAATAATTTATTGCCACAGAAAACCTCAGGTGGCATCCACCTGTAATCTTAGTACTTCAGAGGTGGAGGAAGGATTGTTAGTTTAAGCCCAGCCTGAGCTACATAGTGATAGCCTGTCCCAAAAATGAAGTTTACATACATGTTTTATATATAATATGAATAATATATATCTGTAAACTATGTAACACTGTATATACCACAAAAAATAATATATGCTACTATATATAGTACTTTTGTATATACTATATATTATATAATACATTTATATGTTATACATACTTCACATATATATATATATATATATACTATATGCTATAATATATAGTACATAGTATATACTATATATCTATATATGTGGAGAGAGAGAGAGAGAGAGAGAGAGAGAGAACCATTTTCATTCTCCAGAACCCAAGTGGGAATTCTCTCTACAAGAACTGGTGTCCACTGCATTATGCTTGTCTCCTTTCCTGAAGAAATGTGGATTTTCCAAGTCACTTCAAAGAAGCCACACTTGCATATCTAGCAAATTGGGAATGCTGTCCATGTGATAAGAAAGACCAAGAAGGAAAAAAAGAAAGAAAGAAAAAAGAAATAACCAGTGCTTTGGTGTTAGAGGCACGGTTCAGTTGGGAGAGTGCTAGCCAATGGGCCAATGTGTCAGGTACAGAGTCCCAGTCTCCCACAGGAAGAAAGAAAAAAGAAAAGAAAGAAAGAAAGAAAGAAAGAGAAAGAGAAAGAAAGGAAGAAAGAAGGAGGAAGAGAAAGGCCATAAAAGATGCAAATAGGTTTCGTTCTTCATAATAATCAGACTTCAGAGAACAGAATAAAGAGCTTGTGGACAAATCACATGACTAGAAAGAGACGAGGGAAAAAGAATGTGATCAAGTAAACCTACATTTTCAGATTCATGAATATAAGACTCAATACTTTTTCCTCTGAGCTACCTGCCTTGCCATGATCATTGGATTTTCTGTCTCTGTATTTCTTCCAGTTTTTATTAGTAGAGAATCAAGGCAACTCCTTATTTGATTGTAGTCTCTCCCCGCATCAGTACCACAGCCATGCCCACTACTAGAGACTAGCCATTGGTCTCTGTTTACTGTCTACTAGCTAGTACCACAGCCATGCCCACTACTAGAGACTAGCCATTGGTCTCTGTTCACTGTCTACTAGCTAGTACCACAGCCATGCCCACTACTAGAGACTAGCCATTGGTCTCTGTTTACTGTCTGCTAGCTCTGCAGTCTTGAGTAGTTGAAAACTGAACAAAAACCATGTTGTCTTAGCTGAAAAAGGGGGAATGAATGCTACATTCCAATATTACCGTGACAGCAAAAAAAATACATACAGAAATTGGGTATAGTACTTACCACATAGGAAACATGCCTGAATATATTGCCTGAATATGGAACTGTTTTATTTGTTTTATTCATTATAGTAGCAGGTGTGTGTGGGAAGGGGGATTGGTGGTGTGGTGGTGTGTATGTATGTGTTATTAAATTGCCAAGATCCATCTTAGGAAAACACCAGTGACTACGTGCTTAGACGTCTCAAAGCTAACACTGATTCAACTTTTGGCACTGGGCTAGGAGTTTCCAACCCATTTTCCCATTAAACTTCAAAGACTTTACATAGGAGTTATAGTCTGTCTTGTAAGATCGAGAAAATGTATTTGAGTCAGTTGGAATGAGTATTTGCTAAATGAGAAAGCCAGATTCAAGGCAAGGTCTGACTGAGTCCAGAGCACGAGGTCTTTGCTCTTCTTCCACATACTACTGACTTGAGAAATGACTCCACCAAAACCTACACAGAAGATGTATGCTTAGTGGGGTGATGCCCGCAAAAGATGAACACATTTTTACTTTTTCATATGTATAAAATACACTAAAGAGAGAGGAGGAGGAGGAGGAGAAAGGAGGAAAGAGGGAAAGGAGAGGGAAAGGAGGAGGGGGGAAGAGAAACAGATTTATAGGATATGATAGTAAAATCCCATGGGGGGATGATTAGGGGAATCATGTCTAAACAAGTTCTTGGCAAATGGGAATCGAGAGAGAGGGGGAGAAACAGAGGGGGGAGAGAGGGAGAGGGAAAGAGGGGGAGAGGGGGAGAGGAGGAGAATGCCAGTTGAGGTAGATCTTTAAAATTGCCAACACATGTCATTTATAAGGCAATTTAGGTAGCAAGGTCTGTGTCCTTTTTTCTTACCATAATTAAACAGGAAAAATAAATAATTATATTTGTAATTCATCTGCATCATTTGCTTACATTACAGAATAATCTGAAACAACTTCATTTAAATCGTTTCCTAACCTTTTTTTTTTTTTTTTTTGCCAGTCCTGGGGCTTGAACTCAGGGCCTGGGCACTGTCCCTGAGCTTCTTTTGCTCAAGGCTAGCACTCTACCACTTGAGCCACAGTGCCAATCTGGCCTTTTCTGTTTATATGGTGCTGAGGAATTGAACCTAGGGCTTCATGCATGCTAGGCAAGCACTAAGTTGCATTCCCAGCCCCCTAATCTTTAAAAGTGAAAGAATGACCTGATTCACAGAGTAACTTTACAAAAGAAAGATAATTTTCAGGCTTATGTCTTGTAAGATCCTCCCCCAATCCTGTTAGGATTATGTCTGTTTTAAAAAGAAAGAAGCACTCTGAGGAGAGTTTCCTAAAAATCACAGGTATAAACCTAAAGAGCTTCAGCGAGAGAGAAAAATAAACAGTTCTGTCTGGGGATGTAGCTTAGTAGAAGAGTTCTTGCCTAGCATGCACAAGACCCTGGGTCTAGCACTACAAAATATATAAAGAAATAAAATTATTCATTTTATTATTTCCTTAATAATAAAATCAAAAGACGGAGTGTGGTAACTTATTTCTGTAATTCCAGCTATTTAGGAAGAGGTGGAAAGATTTCAAGCCAAGGCTGAACAGGGCAAAAGAGTGAGATCCTATCTAAAAAAATTAAAGGAAAAGGGGCTGTAAAAGAGGTGTATCTCAAGTGCTAGAAAGCATGTAAGGTTCTGAGTTCAAACTCCAGTACTGATACACAAACAAACATGCATTACACCTTCACTAAAGGATACTAGGCGGGTGAAGATTCACCTATTAAACTCGTCCCTTTTATGAACATTAAATCATTAAATCATGAGATTGTTTTTCATTTAGAATACATTTATTTCTATTTAAAATATAGAATAAACAAACTGAATTCCAACTGCTGGAATTTTTCAAGATAAGTCTTAAATATAAAATAACCATGTTAGATAACAGTAAAAACAATATAAATAAAATATCTGTGATAAAATATCTGTTTCCAGGTTTATTGCCTCTTGGTTAATTCATGCATACAGAGAGCGGGGACTTCACTGGTAAGTGAAATGATCAATGAAAAGTCAACACTTTTTAATAAAAGCGTATTTCCTATTGAATATTACTTATCATTGGATCCCTTACATGCTTTGCCCTTAACAAATACTTCTCTTACCATCTTCCTTAAGAACTTTACTAGTCTTGGTAACACAGAACCTCAAATAATATATTCGTGGCTAAAGAAGAAGATACTACCTAACGCTAGATGAAATTGCAACACACATAAGGCCTCATGTCTGCAACTATAGATTGGTCTCTTTTGAGAGAACTTTCGCTCAAATGGCTAACAGAAAGGGAAAAGATATAATCAATGGGAGCATTCCTCATCTCCTTTGGGATCAGAGATCTAAAAATGGTCAGGGAACAGTTTATGATTAATGATAAAATACCTGGGAATAGAAATAGCGAGAACTGTTTTCCTTCTTGTGCTTCCCTAGAATGAGGCACTAAGACAACGAGCATGTAATACTTTTCGACTGATTGGCCAAAAGACCTGAAGCTGGCCTACAATCACCTTGGAACAGGCACACGGCAGGGAAGGTGAAGGAATATATCCAGTACCTGTTGGGGTCCACAACACATGATGATAAAATGCATTCGTTTGTTTCCGCTTAGGTACCCATAAGCACTGCATTTTGACAGTTTTCCTAAGACACTTAAAAGATAATATTCTCTTCCAGGTATATGGATTGTACATCCCACAGTGGTGGCAATTTCTTTTAAGTGCCCGAGAGCCAAACTTACCATATAAATAATTGGCAACACCTGAAATGCAAGAAGAATGACAAACAAAATAAGTGTTAAATTTTCATCCATTTGCTAGAAACAATACAGATATGTGTCAGTAAACATCACTGGAAAGAAAAAAAAAGCTCAAATTTTTACAACTGAAAGAGTAAGTGTGAAAGAACTAAGCATAGTAATTACACACTTAAAGGAGTATCCCATTGCCAGTAATCTGTTGGAGTAACAATGTAAGCATCAATTAAAACAGCTACTGAATGCCAAACTAAAACTGATTCTAAAAGTTGATGGTAAGAAATAAGTTTAAAGAACCTGAGTAGTAAATAGTTACTGATTTAACCTGTCAAGAAAGGATCGAACAAACACAATGCTCTACACCTGTATTCCCAGCACTGAGGAGGCTGAGGCTTGAGGATCAAGAGTTGAAGGCTAAGGGTGCTAAGAAAGAAAGGAAGGGAGGAAGAAATAAATTATGGCACTTGCAGGGAAATGGACTGATCTGGAAAATATCACACTGAAAGAAGCCAGGCTCAGAAAGACAAAAGGATCATGTTTTCTATCATGTCAATCTTAGAACCCCAAAATAATTTTCCATGTGAACTGCACCGAGAGGTTATATATACACTCATATACACAATTTAGCTATCTAAAGTATAGAATATACTGTAGCGAACTCCTCGGAGTAAGTCTTTTTTTTTTTTTTTTTTTACAATTAACAGTTTAACAAAATCAGTATCAGGAAGCTGAAATGAGATTAGAAGGGGGGGGGGCGGTAAGGACGCAAATGAATGAAAAAGGAAGTGGAGGACAAATACAGCGAGAATACTCAATGTGCACACATATGTGATCAAGGAAGCTGGAAATGTGGGGTTTCTTACTCCTCCCCTCCCCCATCTGTGGTGAAGAAACAGAAAGGAGAGGAGTGACCCTGATCAAGAAACATGGACGATGCCACGTGCCAGTGCCTCATGCCAGTATTTCTAGCTATCAGGTGTCTGAGATCTAAGGATTTCAGTTCATATATAAAGCCTTTCCAGGAAGAAAAATGGAATGATTTTCATTTTGATTTAACCAGCACATAAAGCCAGAAGTGGAGCTGTGGCTCAAGTGGTAAAGTACCAGCCTTGTGTAAAAAAGCTAAAGGACAATGCCTTTGAGTACAAGCCCCAAGACCAGGAAAAAAAAAAGAGTGCCGGACATTCAGATGGTCATATTAAATTATAATCCTCTTGTGCAACCTTTTAAAACCAAATCAAACGATCCAAAGCCATCAAAAACCTCACACTTAGATCTACGCAAAGGAAATCTGCATAAGGCCAACTGACCTGAAGTAGACATTTCTGTCCCCTTAGATGTTTTCGTTGCATGAAAACCCACAGTTGTCCTGGAACCAGGTGCATGGTGTGTTGCTGTAATACGAGCAGAGGTGAATCGCTGTGTGATTTGGAGACTCTTAGTCATGGGGACGTGTGAAGTTGTGGACTTGTGTGCTGCTGGAGGCCTCTGTGTTAATGAAGCTTTTGCTGTGGTGACTCTGTGGGTTGGTGGTGTGGTCTGTGTAGCAGAAGCAGTCCTGTTGGGCTTGTGGCCTGCTAACGGGGTGTTTGTAGGCAGAGTCTTTGGTGTGAGGAATGTCTGAGCTGTTACCAGGGCCTTGGTGGCTGAATTGTTGGATGTAGTGGGATTCTGAGCAGCTGATGAGACTATTGTATCTGAAATATTTACTATGGTGGGTCTCTGAGGAGGTGAAACTGTTGGAGTTGGTGAGTGTGCTTTTGTAGGTTTCTGAGGAGTTGGGAATGGGGGAGTCAGATCGTGTGCTATGGTAGGTTTCTGAGTTGGTGGAATTCGTGGAGTTGGATCATCTCGTTTTGTAGGTTTTTGAGGAGTTGGTGGGACTGCTGGAATGTCTGCTGTTGTAGGTTTCTGAGGAGTTGGTGGGAATGGGGGAGTCAGATCGTGTGCTATGGTAGGTTTCTGAGGAGGTGGTGGAATTGGTGGAGTTGGATCATCTCGTTTTGTAGGTTTTTGAGGAGTTGGTGGGAATGTTGGAATGTCTGCTTTTGTAGGTTTCTGAGGAGTTGGGAATGGGGGAGTCAGATCGTGTACTATGGTAGGTTTCTGAGTTGGTGGAATTCGTGGAGTTGGATCGTCTTGTTTTGTAGGTTTTTGAGGAGTTGGTGGGACTGTTGGAGTGTCTGCTTTTGTAGGTTTCTGAGGAGTTGATGAGACTTTTGAATCTGAAATATTTACTGTGGTGGGCTTCTGAGGACTTGGTGGGACTGTTACAGTTGGATCGTCTATGTCTGTAGGTTTCTGAGGAGTAGGTGTGATGTCTGTATCTGAAACAATCCCTGTGGTGAGTTTCTGCACGGTTGGTGGGGCTGTTGGCGTTGGAGCGTGTGCTGTGGTCGGTTTCTGAGGCGCTGGGGGGCCTTCTGTAGGTGGAGCACTCCGTGTGGTGGGTGTCTGAGCAGTTGGTGGGACTGATGGCGGTGGAACGTCTGCTTTTGTAGGTCTCTGAGGACTTGGTGGGATGTCTGTAGTTGGAACTTTGACTCTGGTGGGTTTCTGATGTGTTGGTGGGACTCTTGTAGTTGGAACATTGACTCTGGTGGGCTTCTGAGGAGTTGGCGGGGCCCCTGTACCTGGAACTTTCCCTGAGGTGGGCTTCTGGTGCGTCGGTGGGGCTCCTGGAGTTAGAACTTTTACCGTGGTAGGCTTCTGAGGAGTGGCTGGGGCCTGGGTAGGTGAAGATTTCTCTGTGGGGAAAAAAAAAAAAGTTAATGAAATACTGAGGTAAATCTTGCTGTCTAGGTTAAACTTTCCTATTGCTTGCTCTCTGTGGCTATCTTACTTCATACAAATGCCTCTTGTTATTTATTGCACAAAGAGTTGAAATGTTACATCATGTTTGTGTTCAGATTAACTATAGGGGACTAAAGAGGATTTTTATCAGTATTGAAATGGGCAGGTGGAACGGTCAGCCCATGACCATGCATTTGTCCAGTCTTCTTTTCAGTCCATTCTTGCTACATATCGATAAGAGCTATTTTTTCAAGTGCAGAGAGAGTTCAGATTGTGCAATGAAGACGCCTTTATTACCAAATGTCTTAAATTGACTTACACAATGATATTAATATAGTTGCATTATTTTTTGTTTATATTTCTACAGTTTATTTTCTATTCTTTATTTTCAACTGTTCTGTGTTCTTGTCATCCAACTGTATTTCCTATAAACAGTAAATAGTTAGGTTTCAGTTTTAAAATTAGGCTGACAATCTGTCAAATTATACTCTACAAATATTTATATACACTCAATATATCTATTTATATCACCTACTTTATTATTGGCTTTTTATCCCATTCATCAATTTTATGTTTCTTTCCATTTCTTCTTCTCATCTTTCCTTTAGGATGAATTATTATTCCTTTTTAAAGGAATTTCTTTATGTCATTTCTATACTTTTCACATAGTTTTACTATTTTGGGGGGGCAACTCTATAGATTATAGTGCAATTATGGAGGTGACTGTAAGTTTTTAGTATTGCTAGACTAGTATAATTTTTTAATTAGATCATCTTCTGCCTTTTGCACTTTTTTTGCTATTTCACATGTCTTGCTACTTCACATTTGTATTCTCTTCATATTTCAAAGCAAAAAGCTGGAAATAGAGTTGTGGCTCAAAAGAATAAGTACCAGCCTTGAGCAACGAAGCTCAAGGCCAGTGCCCAGGCCCTAAGTTCAAGCCCTAGTACCAGCACAGACACTAAATAAATAATTTTAAAAGATGCACTACATACACAAATAGACAGGTTGACTTAAAACTCCCTGGAACACTCTCTCTCTGCTCTTTTCTAGCCCTTTCTCAACTCTTTCCCAGCTCTTCTCTTTCCTAGCTCTCTCTTTCCCATCTCTTTCCCAGATGCTCTCTTTTCTAGCTCTTTTCTCTCTTTTCTAGCTCTTTTCTCTCTCTTTCCTAGCTCTCTCTTTCCCAGCTCTTTCTCTTTGCCAGGTCTCCCAGCTCTCTTTCCCAGGCCTTTCCCCATCATGTGAAGGACCAAGATGGCCTGGTGCCAGCCAGAATGATGAATAAACCTACCCCTTACCTGAAAAAAAAAAAAACTCCCTGGAACAACAACTTAAAGATAATTTAAAATAATGCAAAAAATCACCGTTCTCCACATAGAGCTCCCCAATGACCCAGCAATCCCACTTTTGGGCATTTACCCAAATGATCACAAACAAGGCCACACTAAAGCTACCAGCACAACTATGTTTATTGCAGCATTATTTACCATAGCTAAGATATGGAACCAACCCAGATACCCCTCAGTAGATGAATGGATCAAGAAGATGTGGTATACATACACAATGGAATTCTATGCCTCCATCAGAAAGAATGACATTGCCCCATTTGTTAGGAAATGGAAAGGCTTGGAAAAAATTATATTAAGTGAAGTAAGCCAGGCCCAAAGAAACATAGGTCCCATGGTTTCCCTTATTTGCAATATCTAGTATAGGTATGAGTCAAGTGGAAAAAGTCAGAGAATGTGATGTTAGGAAAACGAACCCTCAAATATGTATTTTAATGTTTTTGTTTCTTTCATGCATGTGTTTCTAACGCATTTATAAGATTATTTCTTTGTTGCTTTGTATGTCCCTCCCCCACAGTATAACCCCTGCTTTCACTATATTTGATGTCAGTATAACATGTGGAGGAGACGGGGACAAACAAGTCGTTTAAGGATTCAGGTGGACCTGTTGCAACAATGAGAAGTACAAAATGTCATGTCAAAACCAGCTTTACAATGTCGGTGGGGGGGGGGGGAGGGGGGGTATGATTGGGGGGGGGGAGGCTGGGAAGGGAGGTGAAGGGTAAACAAAGGAGGAGGCTGCAATGCTTGGTAAGAAATGTATGCATTTTTCTGCCCATGTAATTGTAACCCCTCTGTACAGTATGTTCTCAAATAAAATTAAAAAAAAAAAAAAATCACCGTTCTCAGTTTTCTTCATTTCTTTTTGCATTTCAGTAGTAACATGAGATTCTTTGCATTCTACTTGAAGAATTACCTTAGGTTTTCATGAAGCCTGTTCTACTTGAGACAAGTTCCCTCTGCTTTTGTCTGAATACATCTTGTTTTTCACTTAGTTTTGAAGGATATATTCATTAGGTATAGAATTCAACACAAGCAGTGATTTTCTTGCAGTGTTTCAAATTTTTTCTTATTGTCTTTTGGCTTGTGCCACTTTTGGTTGAGAACTCAGTGCTTATATTTAATTGCTATTACTTTGAAGTAATTTTTTTTGGGACCTAAAGTATTTTTTTAAAGCATAATTTATTTTTATTTTTTTATTTTTATTTTTTGGGTCCAGTCATGGGGCCTGAACTCTGAGCCTGGGCACTGTCCCTCAGCTCTTCAGCTCAAGGCTAGCATTCTACCACTTGAGCCACAGTGCCACTTCCAGCTTTTTTTCTTTTTATGTGGTGCTGAGGAATCGAACCCAGGGCCTCATACATGCAAGGCAAGTGCTCTACCACTGAGCTAACTTCCCAGCCCCCTAAAGTATTTTTATCATTGTTTTTTGACTTTCTAAAGGTTTAATATGAGATGTCTTGAAATGGTTTTTATTCTATTGAGAATCAAGAGAACTTCATGAAGCTAATCAGTTTTAGAAAACTCTCATGGACTTTTGAAATATTTTGCTCTTTCTCTATTTCTGTCTCCCATTCTTCTTTCTCTTTTTATTCCTTCACCCATTCTTTTTTTTTTTTTTCTTGCCAGTCCTGGGACTTGAACTCAGGATCCGGGCACTGTCTCTGAGCTTCTTTTGCTCAAGACTAGCACTCTACCACTTGACCCACAGTGCCACTTCTGCTTTTTTTGTATATGTGGTACTGAGGAATCGAACCCAGCACTTCATGCAAGCTAGTCAAGCACTCTACCACTAAGCCACATTCCCGGCCCTGACCCATCCATCCTTCTTGTCTTTTCCCCCTCTCTATTATCTTTTTCTAACACATTAGAACAGCTTAACATGTCTCAAATAAAACTGTATACACATATTAAAATAAATTTATATTTATATATTATGTATATTATATATATTTGATAGTATATTTGTATATATGTGTATATATGTGTGTGTGTATATATATATATATATATATATATATATATATATATATGTATATTGCATGTGTTTACCAAGGCAATAGATCCCTTTGAGACTCTGGTGAAAAACTATGCCTCACAAAAAATGAAAATATGCATATGTATACATTTTACATTTATTCATCAGAATTCTTGGGATGTCTATGTCCAAATAAATAACACAAAAATACAACTATGTGAACTAATTACCTTTGCACTGAGGTGGGGGGCTACTCCATTCTCCACGGTCGTCATCTTTTATATCACAATAAAGGGAGCTATTTCCAACCAGGGTGAAGCCTTTAGTGCATTCATAGCTTACAGTCTGAGAATATGTGTAAGTGTTACTCTCCCCTCGCATTATTCCATTCTTAACCACTGGTGGGTCTGGACAATAAATTTCTTAAAAAGAAAGACAACATCTTTTAACTCAGTAAAACCGGTATTGTATATTTACAAATGAGGACTAAAACATATTCAAGCTCAGCATTTATCACAAAGGGATGCTTAGAAATAGCTATTAAGCCATGGACAGCATTTTTGGAGGTTTGAAGGCCAAGATAATGGAACACAGTTGCTAAATGGAGACGGATTAACAGAAATAATAAGATTTAAAATATGGAAATTCAAAAATCACAGTAAGGTACACATGTGACACATGCCAAACTGATGTGAGGAAAAGTAACGCTGCTGAATTTTAGAGGTTAAAACAAGAAGTTGAGGATGATGTCAGGGGGATGATGGAACTTGAATTTAAGCCTATGATGTACTCTTCATTCTACACAGGCTAGGACAGGGAGAAATTGCTCTTCAACACATAGAACAAATAAGAAGAGGAATTGGGAATTCCAGGGGCATGCTTGAGAAATAAGGGTAGAGCCCAAGATATTTTCACCTCCATGGTAAAGTTTCTTTTTCTTAGCACGTATTAACTCACAAAGATTTTTATTTAAGATAAATCAGCCTAGCGCTGGTGACTCATACCTGTAATCCTAGCTACTCAGGTGGCTGAGATCTAAGAATCACAGTTCAAGCCAGCCTGAGCAAGAAAGTCTGTGAGACTCTTATCTCCAATAAACCACTCAGAAAACCGGAAGTGTGGGCACTGTGGCTCAAGTGATAGAGCACTAGCCTTGAGCTGAAGAGCTGAGGGACAGGGCCCAGGCCCAGAGTTCGAGCCTCGTAACCGACAAAAAAAAAAAAAGTTAAACCATACTAAGGAGTTGAGTTTTTTATTTGTTTGTTTGTTTTGTCAGTCGTGGGGTTTGTACTCTGGGCCTGGGCGCTGTCCCTCAGCTCTTCAGCTCAAGGCAAGCGCTCTACCACTTGAGCCATAGCACCACTTCTGTAGTTGAGTTTTTTAAAAACAAATACAAGCAGAGTTACAGCCTCTTCCAGCAACTATTCTAATAAAAAAATGAGTAGGTACACATTCTTCAAAGCCCTGAAGCTTTGAAAAGCAGGAAAGGAATATAATTACATATGTGCCTCAAATTCAATTATATCAAATGAACTGGAGGACCAATGCAATATTACCAAATTTCCAAAGTAATTTTAGGCTATTGATCAATCCAAGAACAAGCTACTTGGATTGACACTAAATTCAGGTGTATAGAGACTATTCAAATCCACCTATTGGTGTATTTATTTATTTGTTTATTTTTGTTGGACCTGGGGCTTGAACTCAGGTGCTGTACCTGAGCTTTTTTGCTCAAGGTTAGTGCTCTACCACTTTAAACTGCAGTGCCACTTCTGGTTTTCTGGTGGTTAACTGGAGATATGAGTCTCACAGACTTTCCTGCCCAGGCTGGCTTTGAACTGTGATCCTCAGATGAGCTACCAATGACTCATCCATTGGTTTTGTCCAAACATTTTAGAGCACTGCATACATACTAGGCATTTTCTATAAATAGATGTCCAAAAGTGAGCCAAGTACAGTTCCTGTACCATAAGATCTAGTGTAAAATGGGAGGATGATAACAGTGCAAGTGGTATGGAAAAGAGAGAGAGGAAGGATATTAACCAGGTTGGACAATCTTCCTAAAGAACAAGGAGAATCAACTCGTTGAAGAGAATATAGCAATCCAGAGAAGGAACTAAAAGACATTCCTGGTGGAACACACACATAAGGAATAGTGGAATCACAAGGTATATGAAAAACAACACAGCCTGCATGGCTAGGAATTGATTGTAAAAGTGAGACACAAACATGGAAATGTAGACAGGGCTGGCCAGCCTCAAATGCTACACTAGAGAGTGTGGACTTTGTATGTGACAGGGAATACTGATGTCTAAGCTATACTAAACTTTAAGAAGGAAAAGAGGGCCAAGCACTGGCTCACTTGTAATCCTAGCTCCTGAGGAGGCTGAGCTCTGAGGATCCTGATTCAAAGCTAGCCTGAGCAGAAAAGTCCTTGAGACTCTCATCTCCCATTAAGCAGCAAGAAGCCAGAACTGAAGGTGAGGCTCAAGTGGTAAAGTACCAGTCTTGAGTGGAAAAAGCCAAGTGAGAGTATGAAGTCCTGAGTTCAAGGCCCAGTACCAGCAACATAACTCAAAAAAGCGAGGGTACTACAAATATACATGTGAAAATTCTAAACAAGCAGAAAATCCTTTACCATTGATGGTTTAGGCCCAGACTTTTATAGAAGACTTACCTACACATTCTGGCAATGGATCACTCCAGCCAACAGTGTTATCTGTAAGAACACAGTAACTAGAAGTGGCACCAACTAATTTAAACCTAGAACAAAAAGGGGGGATAAATCAGTTTAAAGTTAGGAATGTGGCTTAGTGGTACAGTGCCTGACTAGCACGCATGAAGCCCTCGGTTTGATTCGTCAGTACTGCATCAACAGAAAAAGCAAGAAGTAGCATTATGTCTCAAGTGGTAGAGTACTAGCCTTGAACAAAAGAAGCTCAGGGACAGTGCTCAGGGCCTGAGTTCAAACCCCAGTACTGGCAAAAAAAAAAAATCAGTTTGTTATATTCCCATGTATCTGACTTTTGTCAAATTCTTTAGCCTACCAGCCTAAAATATACAATATACCAGTAGATGGAGACAAAATGATATTTGATGAAAGTCTGTAAGGCAAATAAAAGAAAAAAAAAGTTTATTTAAAAAAATACCTAAAAAGTAAGAATGTATAACATGTGGAACATTTTTATTTGCAGGTTGTGTATGCTAGAAAACATAGAAGTATAAATAAGATTTTTAGACCAGGCACTGGTGGCTTGTACCTATTATCCTAGCTACTCAGGAGGCTGAGATCAGAGCTTCACAGTTCAAATCCAGCCAGGGCAGGAAAGTCTGTGAGACTCTTGTCTCTAATTAATTACAGAAAAAGCTGGAAGTGGTGCTGTGGCTCAAGTAGTAGAGCCCTACCCTTGATAAAAAGGAGTTCAAGGACAGCACCCAGGTCCAGAGTTCAAGCGTCAGGACCATAAAAAAATTAAATTATGTAGATATCATTTGTGAACAAATCTCATATTTCTGAGTTCTAGAAAATTAATAACAGCCAGGCTCCTATGGCTCATGCCTATCATTCTAGATCCTCAGGAGATCTTGGGATCCGATGACTGTAGTTCAAAGCCAGCTCTACAGACAAAGAAGACACATTTATCTATAATGAGCCAATAAAGTGAGGGACTGAAGGTGTGTGGGTCAAGAGCTGAGCAAAGGGAAAGACCTTGAGTTTAAGCCTCAGTACCAATACACACACACACACACACACACACACACACACACAAATTAATACAGGCTTTGTAGAACAATAGAATGTGCCTATATTTAAAGGGTTCAAAGTATTTTCCAGACTTTACATTAGTGATCCAACTGATATTTGTTACTAATATGAGAAAAGTGACTATAATTTCTATTTTATAAAGAATGAAGCAGACAAATAGACCGGGAGACAGTGAAAGCACAAAATTAAATTTACAACATTAAATGAGAGAATGAATGGAAAATTTTCAACTGTATTTGAGATATGGATATTATTCAGTAAGTGAGTTCCTTTCTTACATAGATAACTATAAAAGACTGGACTACAAGGGCATGGAAGGATACGGTTACCCTAGGAATATATATATATATATATATATATTCTATATTACATTACATATATATTCCAATGATATCTCCTAAGTTTGTATGTATATAGAAATCAGATACAAATTCATTCTTAGATTAAAAACTTGTTTCATATTTCACTTGAAGGACTGTTATTTCTATAAACATCATCAACATGTTTCCCATTTTTCTTTACTAATCCATAAATATTAAAAGCTATAAATTTAGAGAAGCTGGTGGCATAAAATCTTCCTTTCTTCACCCATTTTATGAAGTTGAATGAGCTCAGAATAAAAGCATCTTTGAAGCAGGGGTTGTTTTACCCACTACCAGCCTGTGCATGCTAGTCTCACAACCAGCAATCTCCATCTGAAATTCCAATTTGTTTTCTCTTATGTGAAATGCAGTGTTAGTATGACAAAACTTACCCTTTGTTACATGAGAAGGAGATAGATGAACCAAATAATATGTCAGTTTTTATGTTGATAGCACCATTTTGTATTTCTCCAGGATTAGGACATGATCTTTCTAAAAGGTGAAAATAAATTGCTTTCATTAAAATATAAAATATGAAACTATGAGATCCTTTTACAATCATTTTATAATGTATGTGTATATAAAAGCATCACATTACATGCCTTCAATACACACATATTATTAGTTTATTATATGTAAGTAAAGCTAGAATAAACTTAATTGTGAGACCTGTGTGTGTGTGTGTGTGTGTGTGTGTGTGTGTAAATTCATCATCCAAACTTTAGTATTTCTAGTTCTTAGACTTCTTTAATTTTACCTTCTTTTCTTGAAAAGTTTAAAAGAGCAACCTATTTATGATCTATAGTGAATATAGGTAACCTCAAACTACGTAAATGTGAAGGTTGTGAGTGGTGAATAAGTATCACAATCACATATGTATTTGGTCTGTCCAATTTAACATAAAATGAATCATAGAAGAATCATTCTGAGTAATATAGACACATACAGAGTTCCAGCACAGATGAAGAAAGAGATATTTTCTCCAAACACCAGATGACTTGGAATACTTAAAAAGTATATACTCACTTTGACAAAATTCAGTTGGTTTGCTCCATTCTAAACTTGGAAGGCAAGTTAATTTTTCTGACTTAGTAATATCCTTTCTGTACCCTGGCCGGCATTCATATTCCACAATGGACCCAACTGGGAAGTAATTCTGTTTGCTATATTCCTTTTTGAGAAATGCATAATTTAGCCTGGGTGGAATTTTACAGCTACCTATGAGAATTAAAAAATAACAAAAATATGTTATGTATTTGAATGTTTAATTAGCTGATCTTTATTTCACTCCTTTTGTCTTTACACATACTTAATATTTAAATATCACTATGGCATTTTCAGTATATCCAACACACACACACACACACACACACACACACACACACACTCTCTCTCTCTCACACACATACACACACATTCATGTCCTATCTACCATTGTGAAGTAGATTTAATATGTCACTAGCCCCACTTTTCAAAACATGTAACCCAATGAAGTTACCTGGTCACAGTTCTGAGTGTAGTTTTGTGTTGTTGCTGTTGTGTTTTATCAGTCCTGGGCCTTGAACTCAGGACCTGCGTGTTGTCTCTGGGCCTTTTTGCTCAAAGCTACTACTCTACCACTTGAGCTACAGTTCCACTTCCACCTTTTTGGGGACTTAATTGGAGATACAAGTCATGGGCTTTCCTGCCTGGGCTGGCTTTGAACCACAATCCTCAGATCTTAGCCTCCTGAGTAGCTAGGATTGCAGGCATGAGCCACCAGTGCCCAGCTGGGCACAGTAATGAGACTGAATAAATGTTAGTTTCTGGATGCTATGCTGAGGAATTCCTCTGTACCATTTGGTACAGGGATAGATGAGAATGAGTATTGCCAGATCCTTGGACTCAAGTCCTGAGACAACAATAGTAATGGTAATACTAGTGGCTATTATTTATTGAATACCTCTAACATATATTAACTCATTGACTACCAAAACAACCTCTGAGGGGCAAGGATCAGATAAACGAATTCTGTACATGAACTAAGTACCAACTGTGAACAAGGGACAGATAGAGTATGATGGAATGGTCATGCAAAGGCCCAAAAGGCTCCTGCAGAAATGCTGCTGATACTGAGGAAGTTAGTCACCTTTTGGGGGCCTTTCCCATAAGTGAAATGCAGAGAAGAGTCTCTGCTTAACTCAAGTAGTTGTTTGGAAGGTTAGATGAAGTAATACCTGCGGGGGAATTATAAACTCTAAATGCCATCCATGTGCTTTATGCAAGGCTCTCACACTTCAACCTATCACATTCTATCATAGATTTTTAAAAAAGGATTTGTGGCGGTTTCTAAATGTCCTCAAGTTTCCATTGAGTTAAATTGTTCAGAGGCAGGAACAATTTCTATCTCTATTTACATGCATTCAGATACCACGTAATGATGTTTTGGTCCATACTGGGCCACATCTATACACAACAATGTTCCTGTAAGTACATGATGGAACTTAAACATTCCTATCGCCTAGTGATGCGGTAGTCATAGTAACAACAGTGTGAGCCTCACCCACGTATCTGCAGCACCACTGCTGGACATGAGCACAGTATGTCCAATTATAGGAAAGCTCAGCATATCAGTCGTATGCAATCTATAACACTGCGTGTTCTTAAGAATGGACGTTGCCAGTACCTGTATTGGCTATATTATACTTTAAATTCAACAGTGAGTCAGCTTCAGGCAAGGCCTTTCATGTGTTCCAAAAGAGGCGCTGTGATCACAGAGGACAGCCCCAGTGCTCCAACTCCAAAGGACCTTCCAGGGGGACAATACACGGCAAGGACTACATGCTTCCCATGTAGCTAGGATCACAGGTGCACGTGTGCATGCAGGTGCATACACAAGCACACACGCGCATGCGTGCGCGCGCACACACACACACACACACACACACACACACACACACACACACACACACACAATACCTAGTTCTGTTTGTTTGTTTTTTTAGTTGAGGGTATTTTTATGTCCTGGCCCTCTCAGTGATCTCCAACAACACCAGGATAAGCTGTGTATTATTATGGGAGAGTCAAAAAATTGAGATGTTTTTATTTAAAAAATTAAGCTGGACATGATAGCCTATAATCCCAGATGCTTGGGAGGCTAAAGCAGGACATCACTTAAGCTCAGAAATATGAGGCCAGTCTGGGCAATATAGTGCTCCACACAAGGTTAAAAATAGTTTATAAAGTTAAAAAAATAGTTATAGTAAACTAAGGGTGATTTATTAATGAGGAAAATGTAAATAAATTTAGCATAGTCCAAGTGCACAGTATTTATAACGTCTTCAGATATGGACAGTAATTTCCATTAGTTTACCTGCCATATTCAATACTATCATGTTGTAGAGTTTGTAGCAAGGGAGGAATAAGCTATACCATGTGGCCCAGGTATGCCACATGCCACATTACCTAGACCTGTAAGTGCACTCTGTAATGTCCAGATAGCAAGCATGACTGTATCACAGCAAATACATAATAGATTTTTGAAGGAAAGACATGAGTTTTGGGTGGGGGGGAAATGCCACCCAAGACTTATATTTGCTCAGAAGACTGAGATCTGAGGATTCTAGTTTGAAGCCAGCCTGAGTAGGAAAGTTCAGGAGACTCTTATCTCCAATTAACTACCAAAAGGCTATACGTGAAAGTGTAGCTCAAGTGACAGTGTCAGCCTTGAGCAAAAAAGTTAAAAGGCCTAGTATCTGAGTGCAAGCCATAGTATGGATGCACACAAAAAATAAAGGGAAAATAAAAACAATACCTTACATTCGTTAAGTCTGACTTTACAAAATGTGATCTAATAAAACACAGCCTATGTATATCCCTCAAAGCATATGATTATGTATATGAAATATATCATATATGTGTAATATATCCTATATCATATGTAACTCATTTTATGTAATAACATATGTTATATATGATATATAATAATATATGATACATAATTATTGTTTATTTTCTGTTAGTCTGTTCAGGAGAATATATATACACATACATACACACACATATATATATATGTATACATATATTCATATATAATTTTCTCCTAAATAATGTCTATGCTTCTTTTCTGTATTAATCGGTTCAGGAGATACAGTCCAGAAGGAAGGCTTAATAAAGCAGCAGTACCTGCTGTGGGAAGCAAGGCCTTCAATTAGCTGACAGGTGTAGTGCCAACACAGGAATTACCCAAGGGTTTAGTGACGCTGGAGAACTATCAATTACCAGTCACGCCAAAGAGGTATAAAAATAACCTAACGGGATACACTCCCTACTGTCACTTTCTCAACAAGAGAGGAACTTACGGTTGCAGAACTCTCCGAGCTCTGACCACTGGTGGCTGGGGAGGCAGACCACGGAATCCGGCTTGCCCGGGATCTTCTCAAAGCCTTCCTTGCATTTGTAGGTGACCGTGTGGCCCTCGGGAAAGCTCTGGAGATCCCCCAGGGTTGGCTGGGCGTTGGGTACCTGGGCGGGGAGGCCGCAGTCACCTGAAGAGGAGAGAGCAGACCCTGCAGGCCACGCAGCCTTGCAGGGAGTGGGGGGGCGGGTCCCGGGGACCTCTGACCTTCCTGCAGGAGACAGGCTCAAAGAAGCTGAGAGGGCTGGGGAGGTGGCTCAGGGGTGCCGGCCTAGCCTGCATGAGGCCCTGGGTTCGAATCCTCAGTACCACAGAAAAAGCCAGAAGTGGCGCTGTGGCTCAGGTGGCAGAGCGCTAGCCTTAAGCAGCGCCCAGGCCCCGAGTTCAAGTCCCAGGACTGGAAAACACACAGCAGTGGAGAATTAAGTCCCTCCCTTTAAAAAGCAGCTCCGACTTCACCGAGTGTTCACACTGATACTGTTGCCGGCCACGAGATAAGGCGGCCCCGCGTGCGGCGCCGGGTGACACGCCCGCTCACACTCACACACACGCACAGCCGATCCGCGGGAGGAGGGGGCGACCAGAATCAGCCTGCGTCCTAAAGCCACGGGGGCTCGGGGGGCCGGGGGCTCGGGGAGCCGGGGGGTCAGGGGGTCGGGGGGCCCGGGGGTCCGGGGGACCGGGGCGTCGGGGGGTCGGGGGGCCCGGGGGTCCGGGGGGGCGGTCACGGTGGAGATCTCCCGCCCCAGGGGCCGCGTCCCAGACGCCCAGAGCCTCCGTGGATGGCGAGGACAAAGCCTGACGACCCTCCCCGCGCCCGCGCCCGCGCCCGCCTGCCCGGAGCCCCCGTCCGGCTGCGCGGTCCGCTCAGGACGGCTCCTGAACCCGCACTCACCCCACACGGCGGCCGGGCGCAGCAGCAGCAGCAGCAGCAGCGGGAGCCCCGCGGGCAGGGGCCGGACGGCGGGGACGCCGGGGCGCGCGCGGCTCATGGCGCTCGGGGATCGGGGGTCGCCCGCGCCGCGACAACCGCCGCGCGCGGGCGGGAAGGAGAAGCGAGCGGGCGGGCGGGCCGGAGCTGCGCGCTGGGGACCCGGCCGCTCGGAAGAACGGGTCCGCCCGGCGGAGCCCGGCTGTTAACCGCGCGCCCTGGGCGTGGCCAGCGCTCGGAGTCACCGCGGGGCGGGGCGCGGGGGACGAGGGGGTTCGTCGGGCGGGGCCCGAGCCCGCGCGCCCCGAGGCCCCCCTAGGAGACGTGGTCGGGGCCTCCCGGTCCCCGCTGCCCGGTGGGGCCTGCGATGAAGTCGGCCTGGAGTGGTAAACTTGGGTGCTCTGAGCACCCTCGGTGGCCGAGGAGAGGGGAGTGGCCCTCGGGGGCGCCCGGGGGGTGGGGGTGGGAATCCGGGCTGGCCAGCGGCTCGGTGGGCGCGGGGAATCCAGAGATCCCCGCCCCCTCCCCCCGGGGCTGAGAAGTGGGTCACACCCGGGGCCTCCGGGTGCCAAACGCCCCGCGAGGGTGGGGTGCGAATCCACGGAATGCCTTACCGGGGTCTGCAAACCGCAAGTAGGTCATGACCCCGAGAGGACAGTTGAGTCGGTGGCCGGTCTGGACTGTGTAGCCAGATCTTGTCTCAGAAAGAAACGAAAGACAGAGACAAGCCCTGAGCAGGTGGCCACAGGCCCTGCTTGCCTGCCTGAAATCCACACTACTGAGGAGGCTGAGATCTGAGGATCCTGGATCCAGGCCAGGCGGGGTAGAAAAATCCATGAGACTCTTAATCTTCAATTAGCGAGCAAAAAGCCGGAAAGGAGAGGTGTGGCTCAAGTGGTAGAGCTTTAGCCTTGAGGGGAAAAAAAAAAGCCAAGGAAGAGCCATTCTACCACTAACAAAACCAAAAAGATAGAAAATGGATTGTGGGGCGCAGCGTAGCAAGCAGGGAGAGACCGTTGTTGATAGCACATTTGTGTGAGAATCGCTTTCTTTGCAACCTGGACACCTTTTCCAGTCTACTTTGAGATTATTCTAGGTTTGGGGGTGAGGGGTGAGATCTGGGAAGACTGGCAACCAGCAGTAATCCAGAAAGCTAAGTGAATTCTGAAGAGGAAGATTATCTCCAGACCTGAAGAAAAGCCAATGATCTTCCAGACTTGGAAGATCATTTGAGTCACCTTAAAAGAAAAAGAGGCCCTGGCTGCACCCCCAGACAAATTAGACCAGAATGTCTAATGGGATTGACTGGAATTTTTTCAGCATAATTTTTCATTGTGTATCCAGGTTTGAGAAACCACAGAGTGATGATGCGGTACCAGTCAGCTCTCTAGCCATCTTATCCCTGTCAAAATCAATGGGAGACATGGGGTCTTCCTGGAGCAGAACCCCACAAGCATGTTTCCCATTGAGAAATTGTCTGCATCTGTCCAGCAGAGCACTTTTTCCCTTAGCTGGTTAGTGAAATCCTGTCCTTGGAATCAAGAATCCCTAAGCCATCTGGGGAGGTATTCCTTATATCTAATCATGATAGTCTTTCCCTGAATGATTTCTGATGGCTCTTCATTGGTTAGCAGGACCTTCAGAAGGAAAATCAAGCTTTCAAAAACTGTTTTCTCTGGACTGGTGCTTAGTGAATCCAACCCAGTGTTGCTCAATGCAGGAACCAATTCTATAGAGATGCCAGGAACTGGGCCTCCCACAAGTGTTCAGTGAACCTAGCTGTATTTGCATATTCTAGAGCATGGAAGTCCAGGAAGGGGGGTGGGGAATGGAAGGGATTTGGGAACTACTTTCTGTGATCCTCTTATTTGCTATTAAAATACTATTACTCCCATATTTGATATAAAACAAGTATGACAAAGTGCAATCATGTTTCAGAAGTGGTCTTCATCATTCATCTCAGAGCTTTCTGTGGCCGTTAGGCTTCAAGACCCTCTCTTCTGTCCACCATTATAGACGAGGCCTTTGTCCCTTTGTCTCTGTAGGGTGCATGAAAGGCAAGGTAGTGTCATAAAAGAGCTGAAGGTTAAAACCAGAGCTAACACTGAGACCCAATGGAGCTCTCTGTGTTTATTAAGTGAACAACAGAGTATTTCAGTCCACATAGAAAAATTATCTTAGAAAAAAGTTTTTAAAAATCATGCTTATATTCCTGGCTATTCAGGAGGCTGAGATCTGCAGATCAAGGCTGAAAGTCAGCACAGGCAGAAAAAGTCTGAGACTCTTATCTCTACTTAACCACCAGAAAATCAAAAGTAGAGATGTGGTTCAAGTGGTACAGTGCTAGCTCAAGAGAGAAGCCAAGTGGGCTGGGAAGGTGTCTCAATGCTTTGTGTGTATGAGGCCCTGGGTTTGATTCCTCAGCACCACATAAGCAAAAAAAAAGCCAGAAGTGGCGCTGTGGCTCAAGTGGTGGAGTGCTAGCCTTGAGCTGAAGAGCTGAGAGACAGTGAGTGCCCCAGACCCAGAGTTCAGGCCCCATGACTGACGAGAGAGAGAGAGAGAGAGAGAGAGAGAGAGAGAGGCAAGCTAAGTGACAGTGCAAGGCCCTGAATTCAAATCCTAGTACTGGCATGTACACGCACACACACAAAGACACAGACACACAGACACACACACACACACACACACACACATACACACACACACACACTTACCCAGCTTAGCTATATGAAATGCTCTTGAACATACACCTTCCAAGAAAGAAGTAGGTGGCCTCTTAAGTAATCCCATAGCCACCCAAATAATTACAACATGCTGAGGGCAAAAAAAAAAAGAAAAAGGAAATCCACCATATTGTTACTCAATGTAGAAAAGCATTATTTAGGAAAATCAAATCTGCTAGTTTGTAACTTAGTGAAGACTTTTATTTTCAGTAGTTGCCCCAATTTCTAGGTTTTCTTGCTTCACACAGAGTGTGTCTCCAATACAATGTCAGGAAGTGGGGGTAGGGAAATATCTGGTGTGTTCTGGTCCCAGTTTTTATTCTTGAGTTATTAAAAACTAGAGATGCATTCTCAGTGAACTTACTTCATACCTCAGCATCTCCTTCCCACATTAATTCTAGAATTATCTCGACATCTCCCCATTTCCAAATGGTAAGAATAAGAACCGAGATCAAAACATATAGGTAAAATAAGGGGGTTCACACCTATAATCCTAGCTACTCAAGAGGCTGAGATCTGAGGATAGCAGTTCAAAGCTAGCCTGGGCAGGAAAGTCTGTGAGACTCAGTCAACATCAAAAAGCCAGAAGTAGGAGATGAGGTTCTATAATGCTAGCTTGAGTGTAAAAGCTAAGGGATAGCACCCAGGTGTTGGGAGCAACTTAGGTGCCAGCATCAAAAATAAGAAAATAGGGGCTGGGAAGGTGGCTCAGTGGTAGAGCGTTTGCCTTGCATGCTCAAGGCCCTGGGTTCGATTCCTCAGCACCACATAAGCAAAAAGAAAAAAGCCGGAAGTGGTGCTGTGGCTCAAGTGGTAGACCGCTAGCCTTGAGCTGAGGGACAGCACCCAGGCCCAGAGTTCAGGCCCCACGACCAGACCCAAAAAAAAAAAAAAAAGAAAAAGAAAATAACATAATAGGTCTATGTTTCTGGCAGAGTAAGAGAAATAACTCTCACCCTCGCCCCAGTGACTAAATCAACACTATTTAATTAGCTGGCGAGTACTATGCAAAAAATGTCAATATTTGCACTCAAAACCACATTATCTACTAGGGAAGTTTTATGTGATGAATGTTATGAAAAATATTCCAGCAGAGTGACACAAAGTTCAAAAAAGAAAGGAAGGATATGACAGCCCAGTAGCTCATGCCTGTAATCCTAACTGCTCTAGAACTGAGAATTTCAGTTCAAGGCTAGCCTTGGCAGAAAAGTCTGCTAGACTCCATTTTCAAAATAACCAGCAAAAAGTAGGGCTGGAAGCATGGCTCAAGTGGTAGAGCAACAAACTAGCAAACAAGCTGAACAAGTATGAGGCCCTGAGTTCTAACTCTGGTACGAAAGAGAGAGAGGTAGAGACAGAGACAGAGAGGGAGGAGAGGGAAAAAGGGAAAAGGAGAGAGGAGAGCCAATATATATGAGTGCATGAGAAATGCCAATGGCAAATGAGGGTTAATACTTAGAACAAAGCATAATGGTCAGGAAAGCATCAGGTGATTCCAAGGAAATTAGGGACTGAGCAGGGCACTGGGTTGGAGCCAGGAAGAGGCAGGCTGCAAAGAGACCTGGGAAACCTCTGTAGGGTGTATTCTGAGTCTTGGAGAACACTTGGAGATTTTTAGCAAGGGAGTGCAGGCTAATTTGGAGGTTGTGTCTAAGTTGCTGGAATGGAACTCTAGAAGCCAACACCCAGTTTTGCTAGCTACACAATAGTTAGAGGGATAAAATTTGAGAGCAGAAATTCTTAATTTCCCCCCTTGAAAATAAATCGAAATTCAGGATAGGAGTCATGTTTACTCTTTACCAACCAAACCCACCAAACAGACATAATGATTATAATAAACTCTTGCATTTCCATTCCTCCTCTGACCAAAGAAATTTCTGGGGAGGAGTACACAGAATTTGGTGCCTGATTAGATAAGAAACAAGAAAAACAAACTTAAAGATGACTCAGAAGTTTGAGAGTTTGTGAGACCCAAGGGGTTCTGTTGGAAAGATCCAAGGGTCCAACCAAGGTCAGGTGGTCATTTAGGGAAGAAATAATCAATTTGGTTCTATGCTGGAGGGGTATACAATCTATATCTACGAAGAGCTATCTAGCAAGAGATTAAAATGTGGATGGATATGTGTGACCCTGGTTGAACAGGAAGTAACCAAGACAGAGAGCATACAGAAGCTCATGTTGTATCGGGAAGCCCTGCCTTAGCAGGTATGAAGAGTAAAGGGAAAGAGGGAGACTTAAAAAGGGAGGAAGCTAATACTCTAAGGACAGGATACTGAGAACCCAACATTATCATTCTCTGTGTAGGTAAGGCTACTGGTGTTTAGCAAAGTTAAGA